TCACCCCACTGCGCGATGAGAGGGGTATTTGTAAAGAGATTACAGATAGAAGATAACGATTACTAAGGTAAATCCAAGGATGAACTTCGGCTGCCGAGATAACTAAAACCACAAGAAAATGTAGCTCTCATATTCGTCATTCTTTCATAATGCAATGACCATGCTTATTATTATTATCAAACGCTCATAAATTATAGGAAAACTGAGCTAGGTTTAAGCGAAGTTTTCAAATTCACACTGCTCAGCTGCTTTAAATAATATGGGAAATATGGATAATGTCTCTTCGTACATAAATCAGATTTACTTACACTTCTTTTACCTAAGAAATTCCCAAAGATTAATCTCAATCAAAGTAAGAGCGAACTCTTTCTATACTAAGATATTTTGTAACAAATGTTCCATGGCGAGAGGCACTTCATCCCGTCTCAAACTAAGTGTAACATGTTTAGAAATTGAGAAAATACAGTTAAACTCTTTCCGTTGCGCTTACTGGGGTCCGACCCCAACTAAGCTTAAACGGAGACAAACATTCCCATATAAACACCTTTGCGAGCAAGATCGGCTCGACAACACTACATAAGACCATTACTAGCCTTGATAGCAGGAAACATTGGTTAATTGGGCTTTTGTTAAGTTTAACGCCTGCGATTTAGTATGGAACAGAAACAGAGAAGAGAGCCTATTGAGCTTGAGATCGCTACATCACCAGCTCAGTGTGATTTTTTTTGAGTCTGACAAATTGATAATATCCTACATCATAGGTGGTTGTGGTGTGTTACTCTGAGGAGGCAGCATGTAGGGGCTGTTCGCCTGTTCTGGGCTCGTGAACGTCGGCTGTGCACCAAAGGCGAAGCTGAAGTCTTGTGTGTACATGCCGGCATCATCCACCATGATGCCGTTTGATTGCATCAGTGGTTCGTATACGGTCGAGTCCTGCTTAACCACGTCTGCTTCAACTTTCTTCTTGCGAACGCGCGGCGCTTTGGGCGCGACGGGGGCATCCGGATTGCGCCGACGTGGCATTAGTCCTTTAAATGAAATGTATAGAAAACTGCTTATTTAATCAGTGTTCTAAACTTATCAAAACGATAGAACTACAATTCAACCCTAAATACGGATAGAATGGTAACATTTGCAGAAGGGAATGAACACAAAGAGAGAAAGCAAAGTCATTGTAAAAAATAAATAGGAGTAAATAGATATAGACGTGTTGACAGAAGGAGAAAACTCTTTTAAGTGACTATATGTGAATACGTAAAACAAAGAAGAAACAAAGTTGTCAAAACACCAAGCGGTCTATACGAAGCACAACACACCAGGACTCAGAAAATATCTAACCTTCGAATCAAAATTTACATAATTCCTC